AAATGCCAAAGCAGGTACGCACACTTCCCTTTCACACGTATTCACACACTGAGGCACAATATCTGACTGTCTCCTGTGGGCTCGGTGGAGGGGGAGACTATGTAGCCCAACACCTCACGGGTCACCTTCTGGCCCAACGGCCACATGTGGCCTTCAGATGTTTGTTCTCTCTTCCTCTTCCCATACCCCCGACCCCCCTGCACTGTGTTTTCACTTATTATAATTCTAGTGCCACTTCAGTGGAAACACTTAAAGACTGGGAGATTTTTTTAAAAAGCCTTCTGATTGCTCTTTAAAAAAGAAAACTCTGAAAGGTGAACAGGTGGACCTCGGGGCATTTTCAGGGCAGGGAACCCTTCCTACGGGACACTGCAAGGGAAACCCAGGACACGATACACTTGCCAGGACCCCGGACCCCGAGAGCACCGCATGAACCCTCCTGCAAGCCGAGGACTGTGGTCTCCAAGCGTGTGTCACTAGTGAGCTCACCAGCTGTGACAACCACAGCCGTCACAACAGAACTCACAGCCAGCGCGACAGTTCTGACTCTTGGGACTCTTTATGGGAGTGGAAGACCTCATCTTTTTCCCATGGAGCAGTTAGTGGCTTTGACCTTGCATTTAGGAGCTCCGTGTGGGACCCCTGCAGGGAAGATACCAGGGAGGAAAGATGTGAATGGCGGGGGAAGCAGTGTGTATGTGGTGGGGCAGGAGAGGGAAGAGGCCCGTGGGAACTCACTGGGTTTTCTATACCTTTTTCCTTTAACCCTGATACTGCTCTACAAAATGAAGCCTATATAAAAAAAGTCCATTTTTAAAAAGTCACCCTTCTCCGCATAAAAGAAAGCCTGGGGAGACTGCTACCCTCGAGGCTGTGGGCCTGCAGAGGGCTGAAGGGCTGCTGGCGGCTCAGCTGGTCTGTCCTTCCCTTTTAAGTCAGACCTGCGACCATGAACCTCTGCTGCAGGAGGCGTGCACACAGCTGCTCCTGGTGTTGGGCTGCACTGTGGTTTGTGGCTGGTTGTGGAAGATATGCCTTGGTGTTTCTCACATCAGCCTTGAAGGTTTAGATGGCAGGCTGCCACGCTCGGTCCCCATGTACCCTCAGGCCATCACTAGATGCCACCTCTGTCTGCTGCACCCCCATCTTCCTGAGAGGGTGGGGCGCATCTGTTGGGTACAAACCCAAAGGTGGCAGGGAGGGGATCCGGTCAACTTGTCCCTTGTGGTCATCCTGCTGGGTCCCTTTGCAATCACAGCCACACATCTCTAAGATGCATGGTTCACTGCAGGGCCAGGAAGTGGCCAGTCTGGAGCCAGGTCACAGTCCTGGGTTCCTGGCAGGGACTGCCCCTGTCAGCCTGGACCCTAATCTTTCGTTGTGCTAAAACGGCCTTCCTCTGAAGTCAGGCCCAGGTGAGAACCTCCCCCTCGCCGCACCTTCTCACAGACCCTG